GAAGAAGAAGACGACGACAACAAGGAAGAAAAGAAAAAAGGAAAGAGGGTTTGAAGATGGCAGACAGTGTGGAGCAGCAGCAAACCACCATCACCATAGGGGAACCGCCCAATCTTCTCAGACTCGGCCTGGCTGAGAAATCTGTGAAAACAAGGACTGACCAAGAGCTTCGAGGCAGGTGACACAGTTGTGGTCAGCATTTAAACATGATATTTGGAGATGTGGAAGAAACCGAGACCACTGTAGAAACTGATGAAGAGACATATGAGGAGATACACAAATCAATGAGACGAGATATCCCAGTGCTGTTTGACACGGTGTTGTGCTAGTTGCCCTCTGCTAAGAGTTGGTTGAAATGGAGAATTTGACGTTCAGGGGACAAGGCTGCACACACATTGATACCAGGGGCTAGCCAGGGGATTTATTCATCAATGAAATGAGTTGATTTGCAAAAACCTTATAACCTTTGGTCCTCAGCACTATTTATAACATTTTAAGTTAAGTAGCATTTTGTTTTTCTTTTAGCTTTCACTACACATATTCGCCAAGGTGCTGAACCTTTTTAGGAGTTGGTTTGTTCTGTCATTTTTGCTGACAGTGTCTGGTGTTTTTTTCTTTAAATTTCATGTTTCCCCCTTTTTAAAAAAAGGAAACAAAAAAGAAAAAGAAGAAACACCTTGAGAGAGTCCACATAAAAATATGAATTTTCTACTTTTCTTAAAATTCAATTATGAATTTTCTAACTTTCTTAAAATTCAAAAGACTTGAGAGCACCAGTGAGATAGCTCAGCAGACTAAACACCTGCTTAGGAAGTGCAGGGACCAGGGTTCAATCCCTGGCACCACATGCCAGGCCAGCCCCTGGTGCACTGAGTTGGCCCCTGAGACTGGGTTTGGTGACACACACCCTATAATCCCAGTGTTGGGGAGGGGCCTGAAAACAGGATCACTACGAGTCTGAGCTGCGTAATGAGACCCTGTACCAAGTACATCAAAAAACAAACAAACAAACAAACAAACAAACAAACAAAAAAAACAACTTGACAATTTAAGGCTTATGTTCCCAAATAGAATTTAATTGGTTTGATCTTAGTAATGGTTTTTCTCCATTACAGGGGTGTGAGAAAGTCAACTTGTCAACTTGCAGTAGCTTCTTTGTGGCACTTCATGCATTAAAGACCCTTATAGGCACTTACAATTTCAAAATGTAAAATTTTAGGTTTAAAACATATATGTATGCAATGTATATACGTACCCATATACATGTATAGCTATATTCAGATTTAATGTACATTGTATAATGTAATCCATGGTTAGCATCCCATAGTCTTATTCGAACATATTTAACTATGACATTAAACATACTGGAATTTAAAATATTAAACTATCACTTAAATGAAGTTGGCTCTGGCCTAAATAACTATCTTATTTTTCAAGCTTGTTCTAAGAGCTGTAAATTCTTCTTCATCGGCATATGGATATGTGCTGTTCTCGTCCGTGTTTTTTGAACATTATCAATGGTCAACCTCGAAGAAAATGAATGACAGTGGCAGATCATTTTGTTTAAATTGCAAATTGGGAATGAAGGTAAATATAAGTGGCATTGGTAGAAATACTTGTTACATAAGTAAGATATAATGTATTGTAGAATTGGGAATTTAGCTCAGTGGTAGAATGCTTGCCTAGCAAGCTAGGAGCCCTGGGTTTGGTCCTCAGCACCAAAAACAAAACCTAAAACTAAAAATATAACATATTTCATACTTCACAATTGGAATGGCATGCAGGACAGGTACATTCACTGATGAATACTTGTAATTTGTTAGTTTTTTAAAAAGTGAATCAAACTTTGTCAAGTGTGTTCTTAATATGTATAATATAATTGTGTTGCAGTCAATTCTACCCATCTTTAGAGGTCTGAATTCTTTTGAAAGGAATGTAGAAATGTGCAAAATATTCACCAGCTCTGACACGTGCAAAGTAGTTATTCGGTTCTTCTGCAGACATGGTAGGTGTAATTCAAATGGCTTGAAATATTGGGTTTTTCTAAATTTTCCCTATCAATACTTTGCATAACATTACTGTTTCAGATTTATGTAGTTTTTTTGTAAGGCAGTTGTATTATCTTACCTGTCTTTGTAGAAGGATTATATTGTTTACTTACTTAGTCTTTTTGAGACAGGGTTTCACTATGCAGTTCAGGCTGGCTTTGAACTCATTTTGTAGCCCAGTTCTCAGTGACCTTTCTGCCTCAGCCTCCTGATTACTGGAATTGCAGGTGTGTACCACCACACTCAGCTAAATTGGCTATTCTAAAATGAACATGTTGCTTGAAATATTTTTCATAAGAATACTTTGTATGTGTTGGCCTCACCACAAATGTCCATAGGTAAGAACAGAAAAGAAAAGTACCTGCTGGTGTTGAAAATAGTCTAGAAGGCAGATGCTATCAAATCTGGGACTAACAGAAGCATGGTGATGGCTCCCAGTCACAGAACTGGCAAGATACAGCCTGGGTTGAAACCAGGCTTAGAGGAGAGGGTATCCAAGACTACATTCATTCTCTCTGCTACTCCAAGCTGTCAGACAGATTTTTTGACTCCCAGCATTGCAAGCTAGATGCTAAAGGATTGTGCTCATGGGCCTTTTCTGTTTTGTTTTGTTTTTAATTTTTATTTTTTTTTAATATGTATTTTGTACAGGATTTCACTACATAGCTTGGACTCTAGTGATTCTCCTGTTTCAGCCTCCTTAGGGCTGGGATTACAAGTGTGTGCTACCAGACCCAGTCTTGGTGACTGGCTCGAGGCACCCAGGGCAGGGCCAGCAACAGCATGTGGTACCCAGGATTGAACCTGGGTCTTTGCACTTGCCGAGGCAGGTGCTTAGACTGCCGAGCTGTTTCCATGGCCCACTTTTCCATTCTTAAACATACACAGTGTGATTCAGAACATAGGCTCTGGAGGCCTCCGAGTTTAGGATGAAAGCCAGTTCTCCCTTCCCTAGTGAGATGCTAGGCACTTTATGTCTGTGCTGCCCTTTCCCAATATGGAAACAAGCATAGTGTTTGTGTCAGTCTCCTAGGGATTTTCTAAGGATTCATGAGTTATTCCCGTATTTAGAAGATTCCCAGCACATTCTGTAAGTATGGGCATCGTTATATGTACTACAATTGCAGCTATTTTCTTTGAAGTTAGCAGGTAGAATTTTATGCTTTCTAAAATCTTTAGCCAGGTATGATGATACCTGTCTGTAATCCCAGCACTCTGGGAGGCTGAGGTAGGAAAATCACCAGTTTGAACCCAGCTTAGGCATCTAGCAAGACTCTGTGTCAAGAAATAAAAAAGGGCTTTGGATGTAGTTAATGCAAAGATCCTAGATTCAATCTTTAATACTTGTGATATTGATCCAAATCTTTCTTGTAATTAAATGGCCTTCTGGAAGGTTAACTTATAATTTATCTTCTATTTCTTAATTTTATCTTACATTTATCTCAATAATATATTTTTATGGCTGTGTACATTGTAATCCTTACTTTTTTTTTTTTTGTAGAACTGGGGATTGAACTCAGGTCCTCGTGCTTGCCAGGGAAGCACTTATTCTACTGAGCCACCTCCCCAGCCCAATCCTTACATTTTTTTGACAAATAACCAACGATTTAGCATTATTTTTCCCATTCCTTCTGTGTTAGTTCATATAATAGCAGAACCATGCAAAGACCATGATGATAAGCAGAGAAAGCCTTCAGGTTGCGTGGGTGCAGTGGCTGACACACAGGGAACACTCACTAGTCCCTGCTAATGCTATAGTTTTGTTCTTCCCTCGTTTCCACCTGGATTTTTAGTAACCAAGTGTTTAGTGTCTGAATTATTTCTTCAATGGCTTGATTAATGTCAAGTACATATTTATGACTGGTTAATTTGTAATAGGTTTTGTAGGATGGCCACATGAATTTGGGTTCTTTTTTTTTTAAAGTTTATTTATTTGTGTGTGTGTGGCCAATTCAGCCCACCTAGGGGCGGGGCTGGCTGGCATGTGGTGCTGGGGGATCAAACCGCCGTCCCTGTGCTTTGCTAAGCTTGTTCTAAGTAGGTGCTTTAGACCACTGAGCCATCTCACTAGCCCCATGAATTTGGGTTCTTTAGGTTACAAGCAGTAGAATAAAAGACACTTTTTAGAAGTAGAAAAGTACGCTGGGGAGATAGATTGGCAGTCTAAGCACTTGCCTGCCAAACACAGAGATCCAGGTTCAATCACTGGTACCACATGCTGTTCTGGCCCCAAACCGAGCTGGTCACCAAAACTGGGCATGGAAGTGCATGCCTGTAATCCCAGTGCTGGGGAGGGGAGACAGGAGGATCACTATGAGTCCAGGCTGCTATTGAGACCCTGTAACAAATAAAAGATTAAAACAGAGAGAGAGAGAGAGAGAGAGAGAGAGAGAGAGTGTCAAACTGGCTTCAACAATAAAGAGGAATATTGGATCATATAAACATGAAGTTTGAAGTTAGGCATGATTCAACTAGTCTGCTTCTTATTTTTAAGAACATTCTCAGCTCCACTTTTCTCCATGTGTTTTATCCTGATGGCAGCTTCACTTACAAACTTAGAAGTGATTTCCAGCAGCAGTGAGGCTATATACTTCCTCTTTCTACCAGGTATCTGTTGAACAAAAGTGCTTGGCATCCCTCTGATAGGACTCATATGAATTGAGCCTGATGCCAGGGCGAATTCTGTTCTCTACCTTGTTCTGTCACTGTATCTGGGCCACATTCTGCAGCAGTGGGGAGTGGTAAGAGGGAGTGGTAACCAAACACCAATTGGTTTATGCCAGAGAGGCTCAGGCCTGAAGCTGGAAGCAGTCAGGTCCACTGGAACCTCCTAAGCTGCTTCACACTGGGGAAAGGATGGCTCAAAAAGGAAGAGGAGGTCGGGCATAGAGGCTACTATTGCAACTGTGCTCAGTAGTTATGCTTTCCAAAACTGTGTGTGTTACAGCAGATTATGCCTGTGACTTTTTTGTCTTTTTGAGACGGGGTCTCCTTATGCAGTTTAGGCTGGCCTTGAGCTCACTGTGTAGCCCAGGCTGATCTCACTCACAATAATCCTCCTACCTAAGCCTCCCAAGTGCTGGGATTACAGGCATGTACCACGACTCCTAGCTCATGCCTATGACTTTACATAAATAATCTGGTGGAGTAATATTATTCAAGTTTAGTTGCAAAAAGTTCACCTGAGCAGAGATAGCCAATCAACTCCTAGAAATAAAAGTTTGGAATTTGGGAAGACGTTAAGGGTAGTAAAGTACATTTTGTTATCTTCATTAGTAGATATCCTTTGCTAAACCAAGTGTGGTGGCTCATGCCTGTAATCCCAGCCCTTGAGAGGCTGAAGCAGGAATTGCCATGCGTTCAAGGCCAGCCTGGTCTATATAGTGAATTTCTTTTCCTATCCTTCCTCTACCCTTCCCATCTAAGGAAGAAAAAAAGAAAGAAAACCATTGCCAAAACATGAGCTACCAAGAACTAGCCTCTGGGTCTAACTAGAATCAGCACCCAGAACCATGATTTCTTAGATTGTCTAACATTTGTTAATAGAAAAAAGAATTAGTTCTGTAATTTATATAATTAAGAGCAAGAGTCACCTGAAATATTTTATTCATATATTGATAGTTTTTATAAATCTCCATATTTCCTTTTGCACTGGCCTCAGAATTTCTAAGAATAAGTCAGTAACTGGGCGTGGTGGCACACACCTGTAATTCCAGCTACTCAAAAGTCTGAGGCAGGAGGAATGCAAATTCAAGCCTAGCCTGGGTAACTTGGCAAGTCTCTTTCAAAATAAAGAATAAAAAGGACTGGGTTTGTAGCCCAGTCCAAAGATCATGTATTTAATCCCTAGCACTGAGGGGGTTGGGGGAAGGAACCAGTGGGTTGTCCCTGGAGAATGCTATATACAGAAAACCTGCTGATAAGTGATAAGTTCTGTCCTAGCTCAAGGAGACAGGTGCCCTGCAGAGGGATGCACTTGATTAAGAGAGAGAGAGAGAAAAAAAAAACCTGATTTTTTGGGGGGGTCTTTTTAGACAGGGTTTTGCTCTGCAGTTGAGGTTGTCCTTGAATACACTGAGTAGCCCAGGCTGTCCTGAAAATCACAGTGATCCCCCTGCTGAGCCTCCTGATTACAGGCATGTGTGCCCCATGCCCTGCCTAAAAATCTCATGCATGTAAAGAGGTTTTTTTTGGTCAAAAATCACATGTACTAATGACTTACAAGAATTGTAAAACTTTTTATTTTAATTAATTAATTTATTTATTTGTGTGTGTGTGTGTGGCCACCTCAGCCCACCAGGGGGCGGGGCTGGCTGGCATGCAGTGCTGGGGGATAGAACTGCAGTCCCTGTGCTTTGCCAAGCTTGTTCCAAGTAGGTGCTTTAGACCACTGAGCCATCTCACCAGCCCCAGAATTGTAAAACATTTTTAAAGCTCCTTCAAATTCCTGTCTTTTCTCTCAGAAATCACATGGCTGAAAAACCACAGGCAGCCAGCCTGAATTTCCCTCAAAGTTGCAGTGATTCCGGGAGTCAGCCTTGCCCACCTCCTCAGAGCCCACAGAGTGAGGAACTGGTTGTACTGGCTATGGCACTGTCCTAAATGTACAGCAGGGTGGTGACGGCCTCTGGAATTCCAAACTGCACGAATGTAATATTTGTATAATAATGTTTGTTCCTGAGATATACCCCTTCAGAATCTGAGAGTTCTGTGCACCTGGCAATGAAGTCCCAGAAGTGGCAAGCAGAATTCCTCCTCACAGCAGGTGCCCGGTGGCCAGGAGAGATGGTGCGAAGCCCAGGTCTTCAGCATGCTCCCTGGCTGCAGGGCTCAGGCTCTTGTTGCTGTGCCGTGAGTCTGGGATCTGTAAGGAGCGTGTGTCAGAATTACAGTCATCTACATCACAAAGTCTTCCTTTCAGTTCAGCTGATAATTTTTTTTTCTGAGAGATGGAGTCTTTTTCCATATTACCCAGGGTGGCCCCCAACTCCTAGTCTCATTGATTCTCCAGAGTAGCTAGGACTGTAGGTGTGCATCACCACACTTGGCTTTGACTTACTTGATTTTTTATTTTATTTTATTTATACATGTATTTTTGTGATACTTGGGATTGAACTCAGGACCCTGTGCTCGCCAGGCAGGCGCTTATTCTACTGAGCTATCTTCCCAGCCCTTATTTAATTTTTTACAATAAGACTTTTCTTTCCCTTTTCTCCCCCCACCCCCGCTGTGTGTGTTTGTGTGTGTGTGTGTGTGTGTGTGCGTGCACGCTTAGTATAGGGTCTACAGGGTCTCAATACTTGTAGTGATCCACCTGTGTTCAGCCTCCCAAGCGTTGGGATTACAGGCACATGCCACCACTCCCAGTCTCAATAGACATCTCAGTGTGCCCCAGGGGTGGGGCCGGCATGGCAGGCTGGGGATTAAACCCAGCCACTGTGACTGCCTGAGCAGGTGCTTCCGTCCACTGAGCTATTTGGCTGGCCCTCCCTCTCTCCTTTCTCACCTTCCTTTCTCATCTTTGTTTTTGCATTACTGAGAGCTGAATCCAGGGCCTCTCACACACTAGGAAAGTGCTGTACCACTGAGTTACACCCCTGGACCCTTTCGCTTTATTTTGAGATGAGTTCTTTGTAAGTTTTCCAAGCTGTTTCAAATTTATGATCCTCCTGTCTCAGCCTTCAGAGCGTCTGGGATTATGGGTGTGTGCGGCATAACCTAGCTCATAGTAAGACTTTCTTCATGAAGAAATAAATTCTGGTGAAAACACTTTATCTCTTTACAGTGATGAGCACCTTGTGTACAAGTAGATAAAGTTAACCAGGGGAACCAAAGGAAGTGACCAAGGGGGAGGGAAAGACTTTAAAAAATTCATGCTATTTGCATCCTATTAAGGAAAACTATTATTAAACAAGGAGAACAAGAAAAACTGCACTGAATTACATTGGGCCAAATTCCTTTAAAAATGGTAGTGACTGGTACTCGGGTGAATGAGCCAGAGAGCGGAATGGGAGGAGAAAGGCTCTATGGGCAGTGGTGTCCCTAGGACATTCTAAGAGGAGGGAACAGGGCTATCCAAGGGAAAAGCGTTCATAGAACAGATGGGAAGGTGCAACTGCCAAAAGGCCTAACTAGAAAGACAGATCAGCCCTGCTAAGAGGCTCTAAAAGAGAATCCTAGCGACGCGCTGGAGTGCAGAGTCACTGTTCTTGAAAAGGTTTGAGGAATCTTGTCTTTCTAAGGAGTTCTAGTACTGTGCGGCCTATTGGTCACAGGGGGACATGTTGCCTGGTGTCCACGAGGAGGCGCTAACACATTTCACTGAGGAATAGAATAGTGCTTCATACTGCATCTCCCTTTCATAGAGTAAATGTTACTGTGTTTACTATTTTAATTTGGCTGTGAAATGTAAACGCTTTTAAAATATGTTCATTTTCACTTAAAATTAATAACTTTATTTTGATGTCTGTATTGTTTTTAAGGTATTACGAAAACTTATAATGTGTGTTTCCAAGAAAGTCAGCCTGTGAAAATTGATTTTAAAAAGAATATGTGTTGCAATACTCTAATGATTCAACCAAGGTAATGAATACCCTGTTATTTTTCATTTTCTGAATATGGAAGGCTCTCAGAGGGAAAACTTAGTACCCAAAGCTTTTCAGTTATAGTCTTTTTCTTTTTAAAATTAAAACTTGACTTAGAAAAATCATCTTACAAATTCGAGAGGAAACCTTGAAAAATAATAGTAGATAGTACCTGTCTAATGGTAGCAATAATGATTTAGTAGTCAAGAAAATTCTAAGCTGAGCTTGGTGGCACGTGCTTCTAATGACAGCACTGGGGAGGCTGAGGCAGGAGGATCACTGCTCGTGAGGCCAGGCTGGCGACGCAGTAGGTTGAAAGCCTGAATCACTACATAATATGACTCTGTGAAAAAAAAAAACTAAAACAAAAAAATTCTAAAAATACTCCACCGGTGACTTTCTAAACTGTATCAAAGGAGAAGAATACATGATCTTACAGTGCTTTGCATTTTTGTGGTATCTATCTCAATCTTAAAACACGACAGCCAGAAGGAATTTTAACAGCTCACTAAATTCCCGGGCTGGCCTTGAATTTGTGATCCTCTTGCCTCAGCCTCCTGAGCAACTGGGATTGCAGGTGCACTCCACTGTGCTTAGCTAATTTTAACATTTTTGACATCTACCCTCGAACAAACTAACTATTCATAATCATTAAGTTTTTTCTTTAGCTGTGTAAGGCATATTTGTCAGTGAAAGTGTGGCTGATGTTTTAGTTTAGCTGTAGCACTAAACATTAATTAGCATTACTTTGTAAGCCAAATTGTATTTTTTTTTTAATTTTATTTATTTGTGTGTGTGTGTAGCCAGCTCAGCCCACCAGGGGGCGGTGCTGGCTGGCATGTGGTGCTGGGGGATTGAACCGTGGTCCCCGTGCTTTGCCAAGCTTGTTCTAAGTAGGTGCTTTAGACCACTGAGCCATCTCACCAGCCCCCCAAATTGTATTTTTTGTATTGCTTTTTTAAATGAAAAAAATCAGGATCTCAGTTGCATAAGGCCCATATTAAATTAAAAAGCTTCTGCACAGCATATAAAACAAAACAAAAAACACCTAAGAGAGTGAAAATACAACATACAGAATGGAGAAAAGGTTTTGACAGTTATTCCTCAGAGGACTCTTACCTAGAATATATAAATAACTCAAAAATGTAGTAAGTAGGAAGGGGGGATAGCTCAGCAGTCTAAGCGCGAGCCTGGTCCGGTCACCGCATGCCATGCTGGCCCTCCCCCAGGCGTGGTGATGCACGCTTGTAATCCCAGTGCTGGGGAGGCTGAGATAGAGGATCACTGTGTAACGAGACCCTGTACCAAATGCATAAATAAATAAAAAAGATTTTTAAAAATTTAATAAGTAAAAAGGCTCAGTCAAAGAAATGGGCAAGCAAAATGAATAGGCACTTTACAGAAGTACAATAAATGCACGAAGAAATGTTCAACATTGCTGGCCAGTAGGAAAATGGGAATTAGAACACCACAGATTCCATCCTTCCCCAGAAAGAACTGACATGATCAAGAAATCAAAGAAAAACAAACTTTGGGGAGGCTGGGGGACGTGTTAGGCCACCTCTGCCCTGTTGATGGCAGTGTAAACTAGTATAACCAGTATGGAGAGGCCTCAAAAAAAGAAAGTCCATTTGACCCAGATATTCTGCCTCTAGGTATCTTCCCTAAAGAGTTAAAGACATCACATTGCATATAACAGTGACTCATGCTGCCCGTATTGATAGCAGCACGATTCATGACAGCGAAGTCTTGAAGGCAGCCTATACGTGCACCAACAGGTGAATGGGTAGGGAAAATGCGGTGCTTCCACACAAAGGAGAGCTACTCTGCCATAGAAAAGATGAACCAGAGTCATTTGTAGGAAAATGACTGCACCATGAGACCCTAATGTTAAGTGAAATAAGTCAGACACACAAGCTTAAATATCACAGGTATCTCTAATATGAGAAGCTGGAGTGAAAAAGAAAACAGGAAGTAGGGAGACAGATCATCCTCAGACAGGAAGGAATCAAGAGAGAGGGAAATGTGGGAGGCAAAGGGGATGAAGAAGGCGTGAAGGTGAGTTCTGTGTGCCAACTCTGCAGAAGGGATGGAAACTCATGTAGTAGACACAGGCGCTAATCCACTAAAATACAGAATAAAAGATAATTTCAAAAAGCAATACCATCCCTTGCAATGCACCCAGTATGTACAGAAGAGTGCATAGGCGGAGAATGAACATCTGTCTCTCCTACCACCTCTGTATCCCACCTGGGCGGTAAGTTGTTTTGTGATTCTTCCCTTGACTGTGACACTCTTTATTTCTCTCATTATGATCCTGTATTAGAAACATACTTATACTTATTTTTTTTAAAAAAGAAAATGTCCCACTTTTGATACTGTTTGGCAATTGCCTTTACTGTTTCAATTCTGGGGTGAAGCCCAAAGCCTTCACACTGAGTGACCGACCTCCCCCGCCCCATTTGTATTTTTTCTTTTGAGACTGGATCTTAGTCACTAAGTTGCCCAGGCTGTGCTCCAACTTGTAATCCTCCTGCTTCAGAGCCCTAAAGTGCTGTGTGTGTGTGCATGTGCGTATGCATGGTACTCAGGGCCTTCCCTATGGTGGACAAGCGCTCTACAAGCACATCCCCAACCTTATGCTGTCGTGAACAGTGCTGCTTATAGTGCATAGGTTAGCGCATTAGCTGCCTACTGCTGCAGAGCAAGTCGCTCCAAAACGTAGAGCCGAGGCAGGGGATGTAGCTCAGAGGCACAGCCTTCTTGGCAAGCTCCAGGTCCTGAGTTCAATTCCTGATAACAAAAAACCAACAAACAAAAACATCCATTTTTAAGCTCACACATGTGGTTTTTTTGGTAGGACTTAAGGCCATATCATGTATGCCTGTCCTCATAGAAGCTAGCTGAGGAAAGCCACATCTTTTTTCTCTGTCTCTCTGTCTCTGTCTGTCTCTCTCTTTCTCTGTCTGTCTCTGTCTCTCTGTCTGTCTGTCTCTCTCTTTGTCTGTCTGTCTCTGTCTCTCTGTCTGTCTGTCTGTCTGTCTGTCT